CATTTTTTAATTGGGTTATTTGGTGTTTTGGAGACTGGCTTCTTCAGTTCTGTATAAGTTTACAGATCAACCCTGTGTCAGGTGTGGGGTTAGTGAATATCTTTTCCCATTCTGTGGATTGCCTTTTTGTCTTGTTGACTGTGTCCTTTACCCCCAATTAGCTCTTATAACTTAAATTAAATTTGTGTTAATCTACATTCTATCACAGGGTATAGCGTCTCTTCAGTCTCCTACCTCCTGTTTCCTCTCCTTGTCTCCTGGCATCTCCTGCTACCTAGATTCCCCCCCCTCCTCTTCCTTTCTTGCTCTGGAAACCCTGCCTATACCTCCTGCCTAGCTATTGGACATTCAGCTTTTTATTACACCAATCACAGCGTACAAATACCCCACAACAAGTTTCCATTGCACTAGATTGCTACCTCACGCTGAAATGCCCCCTTTTCCAGTATGTCTTCCAGTATTCTCCCCCTCCACCCACCCCACCTGATCTCACCAGTTCCCACCCCCACCCACCCCCAGGCTGTTCATAAGATCTCTTCAATTTCCCACTCCCAGGGAGAATCACCCCCACCATGAACCCTCAATGTTACTTAGCTTCTCTGGGTTTGAGGCTTGTACCATGGCTATCTTTTACTTTACAGTTAATATCCACTCATAAGTAAGTACATATGATATTCCTCTTTCTGGGTTTTGATTACCTCACTGAGGATAATTTTTTGCTAGTTCCATCTATTCTTCTGCAAATTTCATGATGTCATTGTTTTTAACAGCTGAGTAATATTCCCTTGTATAAATGTACTTACTACATTTTCTTTATTCAGGGACATCTAGGTTATTCCCAGTTTCTGGCTATTGTGAGTAAACAGTGTCCTTGTGATATGATGGGTCATCCTTTGGGTATATGCCCAAGAGTAGTATAGTTGGGTCTTGAGGTAGATTGATTTGCAGTTTTCTGAGAAACTGCCATATTGATTTCCAAAGTGGCTGTACAAGTTTGCGCTTCCACCAGCAATAGAGGAGTGTTCCCTTGCTCCATCCTTTCCAGCATGAACTATGGCTGTGTCTTTGATCTTAGCCATTCTGACAGATGGAAGATGGAATCTCAAAGGCATCTTTGATTTGCATTTCCATGATGGATAGGGATGTTCAACATTTCTTTAAGTGTTTTTCGGACATTAGAAATTCCTCTGTTAAGATTTCTGTTTAGATCTATGCCCCATTTTTTTCCACTGAATTATTTGGGTTTTTTAAGTATAGTTCCTTGAATTCTTTATGTAGTGTGGAAATTAGGACTATGTCAGATGTGGTATTGGTGAAAATCTTTTCCCATTCAATAGGCTGCTATTTTGTCCTATTGAAGGTATCCTTTGCTTTACAGAAGACTTGCAGTTTCACGAGGTCCAATTTTAACTGTCCTTTTTAGTGACTGCACTATTGGTGTTCTGTTCAGGAAGTTGTCTCCTGTACCAATGTGTTCAAAACTATTCACCACTTTCCCTTCTATCAGGTTCTGTGCATCAGGTTTTGTGCAGGATGATAGATATGGATCTATTTGCATTCTTCTACATGCTGACATCCAGTTTGATCTGCATCATTTGTTAAAGATGCTTTCTTTTTTCCACTGTATGATTTTGACTTCTTTGTCAAAATTCAGGTGTTCATAGGTGTGGATCTCTCTCTCTCTCTCTCTCTCTCTCTCTCTCTGTCTGTCTGTCTGTGTGTGTGTGTGTGTGTGTGTGTGTGTGTGTGTGTGTGTCTTTGTCTGTGTCTGTGTCTGTGTTTTCCCTCTTTAGGTTATGCTGGTGTGAGATTACCATGTATTGGCTATGTTTTCATGGATGTATTTAACTTCCTTGGGTTGGTGTTTTCTTTCTAGTCCTTCTTTAAGGTTTGATTTGTAGGTAGATAGATGTTTAAATTTGACTTTATCATGGAATATTTTCTTTTATCTATCTATGGTGACCAAGCTTTTGCTGGGCATAGTAGTCTTGGCTGGCATCTGTGGTCTCTTAGAGTCTGCGGTACATCTCTCCAGACTCTTCTGACTTTTAGAGTCTCCATTGAGAAGTCAGGTATAATTATAATATCTCTGTTTTTAGGTTATTTGTCCTTTTTCTCTTGCAATTTTTAATATCCTTTCTTTGTCCTTCCTGCTTTGCGTTTTGATTATTATGTAGTGAAGGGATTTTCTTTTCTGGTCCAACCTATTTAGTGTTATGTAAGTATCTTATACCTTTATAGACATGCCCTTATTTAGGTTAGGAAAATTTTCTTCCATGATTTTGTTAAAAATATTTTCTGGGCCTTAGAGTTGGAATTCTTCTCCTCCAATTCCTATTATTCTTAGGATTCATATTTTCACAGGGTCCCATGTTTCCTAGATGTTTTTGTTCAAGAATTTTTAGATGTAACATTTTCTTTGACCAGTGTATCTATTTCTTCTATTGTATGTTCAAAAGCCTGAGATTCACTCTTTCATCTCTTGTAATCTGTTGGTAATGCTTGCATCTGTAGTTCCTGTTCACTTACCTAGATTTTCCTTTCCAAAATTCCCCCTCAGTGTGTGTTTTCTTTATTGCTTCTGTTTCCATTTTCAGGTCTTGAACAGTTTTATTTGTTTCCTTCAGCTCTTTGTTTCTTCTTGGCTTTCTTGACTTTCTTTAAAGTAGTTATTGATTTCCTCCAGTTTTTTATTGTCTTTTCCTCAATTTCTCTAAGGGATTTTTTTTCATTTCCTCTTTAATGACATCTATCATCTTCATAAAGTTGGTTTTAAGATAGTTTTCTTGTGCTTCAGCTGTGTTAGAATATTAAAGGTTTCCCATAGTAGGATGGCTGGGCTCTGGTAGTAATGTACTACCCTGGCTATTGTTGGTTGTATTTTTACATTGACATTTAGACATCTGGATTTGGAGTGATTATAGATCTATGTGTCAATTTCTGGTTTGTCTTTGTTGGATTGGTGTTTTCTTCTTTAGTTTCTGTTTCCTCTCTGATCTTCTGGCTGGAGAAATCTGTGGTTGAGAAGAAGGTCTTCCCGAAGGTCTTCACCTAAGTTGGAGGTTGGAGTTCTGATGGCCTAGATGGCCTCTGGTCCAGCAAGATTTTGCTGTCAATGTTGGGAACTGGAGTTCTGGTGATGCGTATGGCCTCTGATTTGACCAGGGGTCCTCTGGGGTTCAGGATACTGGTCTGGCCTCTAGTGGAGTGCAAGGCTTCCATCAGAGATATGAACCAGGATATGGCAACAAGGAGAAGAAGGGTGGTTAGTATTATGCTGGTCAGGCAAGGTCAGGGGAGACAGGTGTTCTTACCTGAGGTTCAGAATGCTGACCCAGCTTCTGGTGGGGTAGGAGGTTTCTGCCAGAGTTTTGGGCCAGGCTATGGTGAGAAGGAAAGGAGGCAGGCAGTTGGGATTATGTTGGGCAGGCACCAGTAGGGTGGGGATGAGGGGGAGTGGTGGCTTACCTAGCTTTCTTGGAACTGGCCTGGCTGCTGATGGAGTAGAAGGCTTCAGCCAGAGGTGTATTCTGAAGCTATTCTAATGACATTGGGGCATCTCTAAGAGCTCAGTTGAGCCATACTGTGTCAGCCATGATGCACACTTAAGACCAGGATAATGTTGTGTAGGATCAGGGTGCCATTAGCATCCCAGTGAGCAGCATCTCAGGATGTGTCTATGCATCTGGTCTTTTTCAATTTTTTCCTCAAAATTTTCTCTAACTTCTTGTCATCATCTCTACAACTTTACTGAAGCTGTTCAAAGTATTTTCCCATGGTGTGTGACCCAATTATTTATTCATGTTTAAGAACGTTTTGGCTCTAACTTCATTAAAACTTTTTGTTTCCTTCTTAATGAAGAAGAGATGCAATTTCAAGCTTTTTCACCTTCTCTGTGGATGACAATACTGTTTTGATGCTTGCAGTAAGTTATAATGCGTTTTGATGTATTTTGACATGCTGTATTATACCAAGACATTACCGTGTTACAATGGAATATTTGGGAAATAAAGTCTTTTTGGAATATAGCTTATAGCTGTATTGTTTGCCTGAATTCTGTTTTCTAATAGCATTTAAGGGTTCCCATAACTAACGTTTGAGGTGAGGTCATGCTTCAGCTTTCATTGTATCTTTGAAACCTGGATGGCAATGATATGCTGATTTCAAAAATATTTTAAGTTATTTTCTTTCATCCTGATTTTGTAATAATTCAGATCTCATCACCATCAGTAATTTTAAGGTAAGCATTCTCTGAAGATTGAATTCTTTGATTCCTTTACTTTTTTAATGACAAAGAATTGACCCAAGTTTCTCAAGTTTTCGGGACCCTCTTATTTTTTCACAGAAATTCACATAGTTGATTCTTGCTTTTAATATATTTGGATAGAATTCAGATGGCATTTTACAATTCTCTGTGGATTTGTTTTCCTACTGACTTAGAGCAGATTCAGGCCCTCTTCTATCCTTCTCAAGGCTCTTGTATTGTTCTCCAGGTTTTTCCCCTTATGTAACTTCATCTAACTTTTCGTTTTTTGTCTTCACGCATCCTTCTCTTATTTTTTTTGAGGGGGTGTTATGTCTCCAGCCTCCTCAGTTGAAATCCCAATTCAGATATACACCATCCTTTCCTTTTACATGAAAGCAAGCATTGTTATCTAAGGCTCACAGCCAACATTTTAGTGCATGCATATGGAAAACTATTAGTATAACATTTGTCATATTTATGAAAAAGTCCTCTCTGCATCAATATTATGTAAATATCAATACCTTAATCATATCCTATCTCTGTGAGTAAACGCATATTAAGACACAGGTCATGGGGGTAGGGGAGTTTACGCTGGTTCACGATGTGAAAGAAAGAAAGTCCATCATGGCAGGGAAAGTATCTTAGTGTCTGTGGCATCAGCAAGGAGAGGCAGCTGCTTGCTATATGACATCAACCAAGATGCACAAAGATTCATCTAGAAACAGGACCACAGTATAAGAAGACACGGTCCCCAGTGACCCATTTTTTAATAGTGAGGCTCCATTTCCAAAAGCTTCCGCAGGCTCCTAAACCAGTGTCACCATCTGGGGACTGATGTTCAAACATGTGAGCCTGTGGAGGACATTCCACAATCAAACCAGAACATCCCACTCATGACCTCCAGTCTTCATAACCATCCCATAATACAAAACCACATTCAGTCCAACTTCGAATGTCCCCACAGCCTTTGCAACCCCAATATTGTTTAAAAGTCAAATGTCTTTTCTGAAACTCACCGAAGTCTCTGAACTATGAGATGAGAACCTAGGAAAAGAAACAAACAAAACAACAGCCAACAGCTATAAAATCAAGTTATATACTTCTAAATACAGTGATACATGATAGGCATTCCCATTCCAAAAGTAAGTAATGGGGGCATAGCAAGAAAAAATGGAATCAAAGGAAGACCAAAGTCTCCAGCTCCACCTGTGATGCCTGGTACTAGAGCTGTTGCTAGCTAGGGATGTAGCCTGTCCCCTTAGGTCACAACTGCACCTTCTTGGCTAAACATGGGAAAATTTTCCCCATTGACTGCAGAATTCCATTTTCCTGCCAAGGGCTGTTGAGGCCTTTACCTTTAGGTGCTCTCCTTTTAAGTTATCCTGCAGAGCTACACCCTGGAGGTCCAGACACCCGGAAGCGCAGTCTTGCCCACACACACCCCACCAACACCTTTCCTACCGTCTTTATGCACAGTCGAGAGCTCCACTCTGACCTTCGCAGGCCATTCGTCTGTCTCTTCCTTGTCCTGCAAACTGCACATCTCTCTGTTTTTCTGTTGCACATGCCTGCCTCCAACCCCTGTCCCTCTGTCTCACTAGGAACCTGGATAGAAGCAGGAAGCCCTTTCCAGAATGTTATGTTGTCTTGAAATACTCTCAGCCAAAGAATTAGTCTCACTCAGAGTTTCATGACAGAAGCAGAACAGAGGCAGACGCTTTGCCAAAATATAGTACAAATCTAGGCTGATTCCTGACTTTCTCCCTCCTGAGCCCTCATGAGTCAGCTGTCACTGTCCTAACATCTGGAGGAGTCTTGTCTTCTGAACTCACACCGAAGCATCATGCTCAGCTTGGCTTACAGTGCTCAGGAGCTCTGCTCCCCTACTGTTCCAATGCCTCCTTCATCCCCCCCCCATCCTACTTCCCAAAGGCCCTGCATCCACATGGTCAGGTAGTCATAGCAACAACTCTACTCCTCAGCACCAATTCTCTGTACTGTTTTCTTTTCTTGCTGATGTTAACCAAGAATGTGACATAAAGCAGTTTAAGGGAAAAGGAACACTCACCATTATGACACGAAAGGGAGCTACTTCTTAGATGGCAACAACTAGGTGTCAGTAGTTTCTACACACAGCATTTCCTCCATTAAAATATGTTCTTCAAAGTAGGTTTTGTTCTTAGTTTGCAAAACTACTGCTATTCTGGGTCATTTATGTTTCCATACACCCTGGAAAACTTTCAGTAGGGAATAGAGTCAGTTTTGAAGGTTTTTCAGTTTTCTTTTCCTTTTCCTTTCATTTCTCCTAGTGAGAGGTTTTGTAGGTTTCAGAATATAAGAAATATGCTTCTGCTAATTTTTTCCTAAATCTGTCATTCTGATATTCCCTACAATTTTCTTTTTTAATTTCATTTTAGTATTATTAGATATTGGTATTAGAAACGTGATTGATGTCTGCATGCTGAGCCCAAATCCACTAATCCTACTCTGGTTGCTTAGTTTTTAAGTTGCTCAGAATTTGTATAGATAAAACGAGTGTTGATGAATAAATGGCAGCAGTTGTATGTCCTTCCCAATTTGAATACCTTAAATTCCTGTTTCTTCTCCAGCATCACTTGCTGGCGCAGTGTGGAGTGGTAGTTGCAAGAACAGATGTCTCGATGATTTCCCAATCTTTGGGGAAGGAACTTGGTGTTTTGCTTCTAAGGTATCAGCTTTGGGCTTTCGTGAGCAGTCTTTCTCAGCTTAGCAAAGCTCATTCTATTCTATTTGGTTGAACGTTTCCATCACAAAGACAACCATGTGGAGTTTTATCTTTTCTACTAATGTAATAATTAACTAATTTCAGAGGCTAAATACTTGAATATAAAGTATAATCCTTGTTTTCTTTTTATAGATAAAATTTTGTTTGAATTAAAAACAATCTTATTTTACATACCAATCCCAGTTCCCTCTCCCTCCTGTCCTTCCATGCCCCCTACGGACCTCCCCCAACCACTCCCCAAGGAGGCTGAGGCCTCCCATGAGAGATCATCAAAGTCTGTCACATCATTTGGGGCAGGACCTAGGCCCTCTCCTGTGTATCTAGACTGAGAGAGTATCCCTCCATAGGGAATGGACTCCCAAAGTCCATTTCTGCACTGGTTCCACTGCCAGAGGCCCCATAGACTACCCAGCCCCCCAACTGACCCTCACATTCAAGAGGCATGGTTCAGTCCTATGCTGGTTCCCCATCTGTCAGACTGGGGTCAGTGAGCTCCCACTTGCTCAGGTCAGCTGTTTCTGTGGGTTTACCCTGCATGGTCTTGACCCCTTTGCTTATCACTCCTCCCTCTACACAACTGGATTCCAAGAGTTCAACTCAGTGCTTGGCTGTGCTATAATTCTTTTATGTGACGTTGGATTAATATCCCAAACAGTATTTTATTGAGATTTAAAATTTATTTTTCATGGAAAATACAGTTGTATCTTATGATTTTGCTTATAAGGTCTCCACCAAGCTTTTGCACAAGGACAATAGTGGCCTAAGGCAATGAAGAGGTGAAACTATTTTTTTCTTTAAAACTTTCCAGGGCTTCATAAGAATGAACATATAACTTTGGGCTCTCTCTCTCTCTCTCTCTCTCTCTCTCTCTCTCTCTCTCTCTCTCTCTGTGTGTGTGTGTGTGTGTGTAATTCAATGTTTTAATTGTATGTATTTCAAAATTTCCTTTTGTTCCCAAGTCAGTTTTAACAATCTGCATCTCAATTCAATGTTTTAGCTGTATGTATTTCAAATTTTCCTTTTGTTCCCAAGTCAGTTTTAACAATCTGCATCTTTCTAGGAAATGGTTTGTTTCATTGAAATTGTCTAATTTGTTAGTTGAGTCACATTCAACTTCATAAGTGGTATTGTCTCATAATCACTTTAATTCTTCCTCCTAATAGTAACCATGCTTGCTGCTTTCTTTCATACTTGCTTGGATAATTCCTGTCATTTCTCCCTGAAGCCTCCGTGTAGCTCAGCATTTCCCAATTTATCTCTTTATCGTTTTAAGTAAAATTTTAGTTTTGTTTTTTATTATTCCTTCTTTTTCTGTTTCATCCTTTTAAGATTATTTTCCTCATTCTACTGTCTTTGGTGTTTTGCTTTCAGTTTTCCAATGTCAAGTTGCACAGGTGGCCACTGACATCCACCTTCCTTCCTGGTATTATCATTTTCAGTTATCAGTGTGGGGCTAAGATCTGATTTGACTTCATTTCGTCAATGTTTTTATTGTGTGTGTGCATGTGTAGAAGCATATGATTGCCAGTGTGTGCGTGTGTGTGTGTGTGTGTGTGTGTGTGTGTGTGTAGGCAAAGGGTTGCCATAGTGTGCATTTGTGTGACAGTGTGTGTTTTACAGTGTGTGTGTTATATTGTATGTGTTACAGTATATGTGTTATAATGTGTGTTACAGTGTGTGTGTTATAGCATATGTGATAGTGTATGCATGTTATATCGTGTTACAGTGTGTTACAGTATATGTGTTATAGTGTGTGTTACAGTGTGTGTTATAGCATGTGTGACAGTGTATGTATGCTATAGCGTGTTACAGTGTGTGTATTACAGTATATGTGTTCCAGTGTGTGTGTGTTACAGTGTGTGTATGTTATAGTGTGTGTGTTACAGTATATGTATTATAGTGTGTGTGTTGCAGTTTGTGTGTGTTGCAGTGTGTGTATGTTATAGTGTGTGTGTAGAGATCAGAGGACAAATTCAGAAATCAGCTCTCTATTTGCACCATACAGTCCATGGTTCACATTCAGGGTTAGTCTTGCCAAAAAAAATCTCCTTTACTACATCGTTGGTTTCAGCTTTTGAATTCTGGTGTGTTCAACAATGATTTGATTCAAGTTCAGTTACTCCATATTTCCATTTCTGATTTTCTCTTCACCACTCAATTTATAATTTTCAAATATTTAAGGTCTCTAAAATTTCTTTCTCAAGTTGATTTCTGTTTCCACCCTCACACAAAATATCCAGTTCAATCCTCTGTAAGTACACATTACCGTTCACTTCGAGTCCTTTACAACATTAAAGATGACATCGGTAAAAAGACCGAGTCCCCACTTCGGAAAACCTTAGCCTCCATGTAGCACAGTAACATGGACAGAACATTCTGGATTCTGTTTTCAGAACTTTGGGATTTGCCGAAGGAGGGCAACAATGTTTGCTAAGGCTAATAAAGAAAAGTGAAAGGATGTCATCATATTCAGGGAAATGGATAGAATTGGAGATCACCAAACTGAGTGGGGAAAGTCAGATTGAGAAAGATTTTCTCCATAAGAAAAGTAGGTGTTGTGGCTTTTTAAAGTCCCATTACTGGTCAGCCCTGTGAAGCTATGAACTCAAAAAACAAAATGAGAAGTTACAGGTACCTACAGGGGAGAATAAACCTGGGAGACCTTCTAAAAGATCCTTTTCCAAGAGAACCATTTCTCTGTGTACTCTTGCTGGAAGTACAAGTATAAGGCTGTCTGCATTTAGACTAACCAGAACTTTACCTGCCACACAGTACATTTGATTTAATAATGGTGATGATGATGAGGAGGAGGAAGAAGAGGAGGAGGAGGAGGAGGAGGAGGAGGAGGAGGAGGAGGAGGAGGAAAAGCAAATAACCAGAGACAGTAACAATTAACTTTTCAAACCCTAGAGAGCAGGCTAAGTAAGAAGGCAACAGTCTAGCCAAAATTGTAAAAGAAAACACTAATTAATGAGATGACCATATGGACC